TTTAATAGTTAATAAAAACCCATTTTTCCTGCAATTGAGTCCTCGCTTCATCTCCTCAACCCCACACCTGACAGAACGAAACAGCCGTCAGAGGACTCAGCAGAGAATGGGCATCTTCTTGTTTCCATCTCCCAGCCCTTGCCCCTCCACTCGTCAGACGATGGAACGCTATGGCAAGCTCTTTTCTCTTCGCCAAGGGGGCTCCACAGTAAAAGAGTTTGCCCACCAGTTCATCATCACTGCAGAGGGGCTCGACCTTAACAACACTGCGCTTAAAGACATTTTTAACAGCAGCCTGAACGAGCCTGTCAGCGCCTGGGAGATAGAAATGTTGGGGATACTGTCTTTCTGGCAGTTTGTGGGGTTTGTATACAACCGTGGGGAAGAGGGTGGTCTTACGCCTCTTGGCCCACCTCCCATTTACCTCACAAACTGCCAGGTCCCCAGTCCTCCGATGACCCCTTCGGGGAGAGGGAGGAAGAACGGGTCCACCTCATCTGCCACCTATCCTGAGGTGCATGTGAATGCTGCATTTCCCCCAGAGGTGGCCGTGAATGCTGCATTTCCCCCAGAGGTGGCCGTGAATGCTGCATTTCCCCCTGAGGTGGCCGTGAATGCTGCATTTCCCCCAGAGGTGGCCGTGAATGCTGCATTTCCCCCAGAGGTGGCTGTGAATGCTGCATTTCCCCCAGAGGTGGCCGTGAATGCTGCATTTCCCCCAGAGGTGGCCGTGAATGCTGCATTTCCGCCTGAGGTGGCCGTGAATGCTGCATTTCCCCCAGAGATGGCCGTGAATGCTGCATTTCCCCCAGAGGCAGCAATCTCCACACCATCGCCTTGCAGACGTAAGCGGAGGAAGAGAAGGAAGGCTTCCTCTGTCTTAACAACTCTGGTGCTCCCAGAGCCGTCCACTTTCACTGTCGAGCCCCCAGTGTTGGCCGAAGAGGCTGCAGCGCCCCCAGTGTTGGCCGAAGAGACTGCAGCGCCCCCAGTGTTGGCCGAAGAGGCTGCTGCGCCCCCAGTGTTGGCCGAAGAGGCTGCAGCGCCCCCAGTGTTGGCCGAAGAGGCTGCAGCGCCCCCAGTGTTGGCCGAAGAGGCTTCTGCGCCCCCAGTGTTGGCCGAAGAGACTGCAGCGCCCCCAGTGTTGGCCGAAGAGGCTGCTGCGCCCCCAGTGTTGGCCGAAGAGGCTGCAGCGCCCCCAGTGTTGGTCGAAGAGGCTGCTGCGCCCCCAGTGTTGGCCGAAGAGGCTGCATCGCAGCCTCGCTCAAGGAAACCGAGAAGGAAGAAGGCTTCCTGCTTACCACAGGGCCCGGAGGTCGTTACAAAGCCTGCTGTCAACTCAGAGGCCGTCCCCAGGCTCATTGCCCTGCTGGCGCCACTTCAGCGCCTTGCCCTGCCGGCGCCGCCCATGCGCCTTGCCTTTCCGACGCCGCCCCAGCGCCTTGCCCTGTCTGCGCCACCCCAGCGCCTTGCCTTGCCGGCTCCGTCCATGCTGCCAGTCAGGCTGGTTCCGCCAAAGCTCCAGGAGGCTGTCCCAGAGCCCGTTGCCAGCCCGGAGGCCGTCCCAGAGTCACCCAAATGTCTTGTCCTGCCAACACAGTCTTTGCTGCCTGACCCACCCTGGCCTTCTGCCAAGTATTCAGATCCGCCTGGTCCACCTTGGCCCTCAGCCTGGAATCCTGAACCGCCGGAGCCTGCCTGGTCCGTCCCCCCGGCACCGCCCTGGCCCTCTGCCAGGACTCCAGACCCGCCAGAGTCCCCCTGGAGCGTCCCTCCGGCACCGCCCTGGCTCTCTGCTGGGACTGCTGATCCGCTGAAGCCTGCCTGGTCTGTCCCGCCATGGCCCTCTGCTGGGACTCCTGATCCGCTGGAGCCTGCCTGGTCTGTCCCGCCTTGGCCCTCTGCTGGGACTCCTGATCCGCTGGAGCCTGCCTGGTCTGTCCCGCTTTGGCCCTCTGCTGGGACTTCAGACCTGCCTGAGCCTCCCTGGCTCAACCCTCCCGTCCCTCCCTGGTCCCTTATAGAGACTTCCTGGACTGTCATGCTGGCTCTGTCTTTGCTCCCCTCCCTTCCTCCCCTCTTTGTCTCTGTTTTGATCTTCCCGTCTTGTGTTGTCTGTTGGTGAGTTGTCATGTTCCTGTCTTGTTTTGTTTTTTTGGTGTTCCTCCTTAGGGACGCCAGGTGGCGTCCTTTAGAGGAGGGGTAGTGTCAGGGTTCTGTCACTTCTGTCTAGTCTATTTCTTGGTTTTGTGACAGAGCCCTGACACACCTGTTTTATCTTGTCTGTGCCTTGTTTCATGTGCTTTCGTGTCTTGTGCTGTGTAGCACACAGCTTGTGTTTTACACTAGCTGTGTGCTTTCATGTTGTCATGTTTTGTGTGAAAACGTGGCTTATGAGTGTTTTCATTAGCTGCGTGTTCATGTCTCGTTTTGTGTGACCACATGGCTGGTGATTGGTTTTACTGGCCATGTGCTTGTGTTCAAGTCACGTTTGGTGTGAGCACATGGCTTGTCATGTATGTTTTCTTGTGTCATGTGCTCTCCTGTTGGGAACTCCCCAACAAACAAACTCAACGCGTGCCAGCTGACTAGACTACTACTATCAGCTGATCGCCTTATGTTCATTCACAGAATGTGAACAAATGACGTAGTACTATCCAAACATTGCGAATTATAATAATCTACTTACAATTCGGGATCCAACTGGCTGGACGAGCCCCCATATGTCACGTCTACCTGGCTCACAGTAGCAGTGACATAGGGGAGACCACACCGTTTGTTGAGTTAAATCAAAAATAGTTTATTTAAACATTAAAGGTGCCCTAGAATGTTTTTTTTATTTTATTTTATAATGTTTCCTGGGTTACCCTTATAATGTTAGTATGTTTTTTAGATAAAAATAATCATAATTTAGAAATAAATGGCATTTTTCCTAGCCTGCTTTTAGCCTCTGATTTGAACACTCTGTTTGAAGGGGCATGTCTGCTGTGGGATTTAGTGTAACCGCGGCCACTGCTGTGATTGGCTGACATGCTTGCATATGAAATAGCTACGCATTACATGTGAAACTCTCTCCCGAATACTTTTACTACTGCTATTATACGTTTTTACTATAACAGCTATCGAGATTAACGAATCGTGAGATGTTTTTAAAGTATTTAGATCTATTCCCATCACATAAAATGTTGCCGTGATGAGCATTGAGCAGATGACGTGTTGATCGCGAGAATAAAGATCTTATCATTGCAAAGCAGTTTCTGCACTCTCTCTGCTTTCACCAATGCAAACACGATGATGTAAATAAAGTAAGAGCTTCGTTGTGCAGTAACGTGCGTCATTGATTTCATAACGAGTGTGGCAAGTGTCCAGATAAACTCGCGCTGTGTGGAAAGATTGTTCTTTGATCGCTTTCTGTATATAATTTGTTCACAATTTAAATACGATTATTTTCATCCTACTAAAAGAAACGATGTGAAGCTGATATTTTAGTCACTGGCTTGACTTACTGATGCATAAACAGTATTGAACGATTTTGAGAGAAAGATTCATGACTTTGCGTAAACATACACGCCACTTTCAATTCCAGTGGCGTGTTATCTATACGCATTTTGAGATATCCGCGTGTATGTCCACGCCGAAATCTTTTGCGTGTATGTGTACGCCGTTAAATGTCCGAGTGATTCCGCGTGTATGTGTACGCCGTTAAATGTCCGAGCGAAACGAAGCAAAATCTATATCTACATCTGTGGAGCGATATTTCTTTTCCTAGGATGGTAGGAGAAAACTCATAAATGGTATTAACCCCAGTGACGGGTAGGTTTAGGGACGGGGTTGGGGTAGGTCATATATTTATATATACATAATACAGTAATATAACGTTAAGTCAAAGGCGTTGATAAACACGCTGAAAAGCGATTATGCGTGTTGATAGCACGCCAAAAATGGAAATACGAATTGGCGTGTCATACATACGCCATTTCATGAGATCAGTCTGACCTGTCTGAACTTGAACAATTACACATCAGAAAGTGTTGCTTGGTGGCTCGATCCGAGGCCAGCTCTGTATTGGCCCAAGTTGAGGAAACAGTCGGTGAAATGTTTGGAAATTTCCAGAGAAAATAAAATTAACCCATTGTTTCTTCAGAGGCTCAGATGAAGGAACTAAAAAATACTTTTGTGTTCATGTGTACATCCACACTGAGCAACTGCCATGCTTCGGCTGCGCAGTTCCGCCTGGCATTGAGGGCTGGCATTATGCAAATATTTGGAGGCGTACATATTAATGATCCCGACTATTGTGTCACAGTCGGTATTGTGTGGAGAACCGACCGTTTTTCAGGGGTGTTTTTCATAAACGTGAATTAAATGAGAACGCGAAAACAGTCCAGTTTGAGATTCACTCTATGTCATGTCCATGCACTGAACTCTTGTTATTTGACTATACCAAGGTAAATTCAATTTTGAATTATAGGTCACCTTTAAATGATAAGATGAAATCATAATTTAAATCAGGAAATGTATCAAGTCAGTAAATGAGAAGCAAGAGGAAACTAATCAAAGTGTAGTGCAGAGCAGTAAAGTGTAAACTGTGTAATGCAAACAAAACAAAAAAGGAGTATGATGGTGTTGCCGCCTGCCTGGAGGCCCTGTCGAGACGCGCAGCACAGAGCAGACCAAACAACTGGCAGGAGATGTTTTTAAACCATCCCGCCAATCAGCTGCTGTCGGATGGACCGAAAACAAACAGCTCCCCCTTCAGGTTGGAGGGAGAGAAACGGCCCACACATATTCTGTACATGGTGGAGTGAGTACACCCAGCACGGCAAAGCCGGGCGTGACTGAACCAACACTGACAAACAAATATTGTCGTTCTCAGTATAATGCACTGCAATGTGTTGAAGACATTTCATACCTCTGAGTGATAATCCAGCCACAGTCTTGTTGTCTGGTGAATGGATTAAGAGGAGAAAGAGTTGCATCAGACACAGAGATGTAATAATATAGTATCACAAGATAATATGATTATAGTCAAAGTAACTGACGAACTGATCTCTTCAGAACAGCATTATTTATATTTACAGACTTATAGAGGAATATTCATATTTCCAGCATTGAGCTGAATATTGACATTGGCATACATTTAGTTTTCTTACCCAAGTACGTGACAGTATATCTGACTGAGGTCTGGTCTTTAGTTCCTTTAGTAATCGCACATCTCCACTCTGTGTTGTCGTCTTCATTGAGGAGTGTTGTAGTCAGAGAACTGTTACAGTGTTCAGGAGAGAATGAGATCTGATATCTGGAGTCTGACTGCAGATCCACATCAGTCTCATTCTTCCAGACCAGTTTAATTCCCTCATTATAGAAGAGGTTAACACAACTATATCCATCATAAACATACAACTGACAGGAGAGAGAGAACGAGCGTCCAGGTCTAATCTCAGTCTGTGTGGATGATGGAGAGACTGAAACAGAAATCACACAACAGACATTTATTCCAGTAAACATGTGAGTTTAAAGAGAGAATTATGTTATTTTATCATATAATGAACAGAAACACTGACCACGAAGAACATGCAGATTAACACTGTCATCAGTATATCTCTGTGTATTTACATGTTTCCTGCAGGTGTAATATCCATGATCTTCAGTTGTGGCTTTATAGATGTTCAGAGAGCAGTCAGACCCCAGACTCAGCCTCTCACGTCTCTCTGTATCATTATTCTTCATCCCTTCTTTAAATAATACAACTGTCCCTGAACTTCTTTCCCTATTATACATCCATGTAGTTGATGTGCAGCCAGTAGAAGCATTGACACAGGGCAGACTGACGCTCTCACCATCACTGCTGAACATATGGAGATATGTGTGTCCACTGGTGCCTGAGACAGAGTAGATGTGTGTGTTGAGATTGTGCATCAGATACTCTTAAACACAGCTTACAATTACATAGTTATAAGGTAGACGACATAAATCTACATGTAACCCATTGCTGAACACATACATATCAAAGAAAAGTGATCTTATATTCACCAATCCAAATTAAATCATCTTTACATAAAAGACTTTTCCATCAGATGTTTGATTGTAAGAGAGAGACATACATCAGGACATCTTTACTTCTGCAAAGATCAAATCTGACAGTCTAAAGTACAAACAATGACCATAATCACATTTGAATTATCTTATGACACATGCAGATTAATTTACCTTTGAGAAATGAGCAGAGAAAAATCAGCCCCAGCAAACTCTTATCAGCCATTTTCTGTCTCTGTCCTTCTTCCATGGTTCATGATTCACTCAGTTCTTCTTTTAAACAGCATCAGTTCCTGTGGTCATAACTTCATGTCATCAGCCTAACGGGTTTAGTCCTGAATCTACAGCTGCTACTCAATGACATGAAGTGTTGACCTGCATTACATTTAGATGAAAAATCATGTTCATAATGTTTTATAAAAACTCAGACAGGGGACGGATAGATAGATCGCAGAGCTTCATGAGATTGTAGTGATTTCCCACACTACAGCCGTTAAGTTCACAGTCCTGTATCTTTGTCAAGCCAACATTATAATGCTTTGAAACAAAGTATCTTAAATGTTCCATAAGAAAGATTGAATAAGAGTCATCTATGCGTTTTCTCTCGCTCAGTTCTAGAGTTGTTTAGTTTCCGACAGCCTAGGCCCAGGTCTTCTAGTTCATCAGAACATTGCTTTATTTTTAAATAACTAATTTAGCAGAAACTGAGGAAGTTGCTTTAACATTGGCTGATTCACTGGAACACATCATGGTATTTCAGGACTTATGACATCAGAAACCCTGACCCAGACCACCGTAACACAGAAAACACCAGCCAGCGGTTAATAATGCGATAGTACAGAGGCTTAAGTGCAAAACAGTGCAGACAAAGAGCCAAATATTATAGTAATATATCAGAAAGAGCCATATACATGGTCATAATTTACATTAGCTGTTTGAAGAAGAGCTCTGTATTTATATGTTTTTGAAAATTGTAATTCTTGTAGAAGTTTGTAGGGATGGGAGAAGAGAAGAGACGTTATGAGACGTGATATTTAATATATGAATATATCATGAGTGTTTGTTGTGGACCGCTGGATGCTGATATCACTGGAAAACGTGTCATGAGCGGGTGGAGGAAAGCAGAGGCGAATCATCTCAACCGTTCCTGAGCGTCTGAAATGCAGATCTTCTCGTCTTGGTAGTTCATGCTCTTAGAAGCAGGACTGAATACAGAAATGTTTGAGTCAGTGGGCCAACAAGAGAGAGAGCTAAAAGCAAGAGATCTGCATACAGTATGATTATTATTTCACTGTTTTAATGTTGAATTGTTGAATTCTATAGGGATGCAGGAACTCTAGAAGACCTTGAGACTGAGAAGGAATATTGAGGATGAGATGGAAGGAAGAGGAAGACACTGACTGAAGAGAACATTAAATAGAGAGTGGCCAGAAACTGAAAGAAGATTGAGTGCAAACCATATTCTTTTGCAAATAGTTACAAGTTTCGTCTCATCTCATGAATCTAGTGTAAACTCGTTATCAATAGACCTCAGCATAAGCCACATCATCTGTGTTCTCCTAAACATCAATAGAAACATGTAATGTGTAGGCAATAGTGTAACTAATATTGGATTAGTTTTATTTAATAAAACATTTGCTGTATATATTTTTATAACTATTGTTCAGTTAAATTATATAGTAGTGTATAGCTAAGATAATGTTCATTCTTCTGATCAGCTGGGTCAAATGTGTGTAAGTAACTAAGTATGAATCTATTAGCTGTGATCATTAATGTTGTTCACTAACATGGACATCAGCAGATGAAGGGGTCACCGGGGTCAAACTGCTGATCACGGCCTTATCTGCCCCTTAACACAACTGTCACAACCACTGATGGACGAGGACACAAAGATAACAGTTAAACAGGCTTTATTTATACACTGATGCTAAACCCGGATACCGGGAGGCTTCAAGATCAGCACTGTTGAAATCAAGGGAACCAGAGTCTTTGAACAAATGCAGGAACAGAAACCATCTCTTGATACTTGAACAGGAAGAAGATTCAGAGATACATCAAACCTAAACGTTGACTCGCAGAACTCAGAACTTGGTTGCAGACACGTAGATACTCAGCACTTGCATATAGATTCGTAGATTCTCAGAACTTGGGTATAGATACAAAGATATTCAGAACTTGGACACTGCTACGTAGATAGTAGATACAGAGGTCCATTGATACTCAGAACACAGAGAGGATGACTGGAGAATCCTCGAGAGCCACCACACACTGAAGCTGCTGAGATACACACACAAGAGTGATTAGTGATGAACTTGATAATACTTGCTGTGAGATCAGAGATATCCAGGAACCAGACTTGATGTATGTAAGCCAAGGAGTCACAGACGTCGAATGACCAGACCGGACCCAGAGTGCAGGGTGAGTGAGGCTTATATCCAATACTGGTGTGTAGAGTAAAGTGATGAGGTGCAGGTGCTGTGAATTCGTAATTAGTGAGAGTGCGTGCAGGTGAGGACCAGGGGAAACCGTGACATTACTCTCCCCTCCCGGGAGGCGCGTCCTCGCGCCTAATAACATCCGAGGGGAGGGAGAGTGGGTGTCCTGGAGTCCTACCCAGGGGGATAGGGAACCAGGGACCAAGGACCAGAGACTCCAGGATGGTGAGGGACCAGAGGATACCTGGGCGGGGCCGGCCAAATGGTCGACCACGGGGGAGCAGGCTGGGTGGTTGACCATGGTGGCACAGGCTGGGTGGTCGTCCACAGTGGAGCGGTCTCTCGACCGGGCAGGGCCAGTAGTGATTGGAGTTCGGGGCTGGGCAAGACCCGCATCGCTGGTAGCTCAGGGCTGGGCAAGACCACAGACGAGTAATGCTCTGGGCCGGATGGGGCCTGGGGCTCGGGGAGCTCTGGGTTGGATGGAGCTGACGGTCTGGGGTACTTAGGGCTGGCCAAAGCTAACGAATTGGGATGTTCTGGGCCGAATGGAATCAGCGTCCTGGGGAATTCGGGGCTGGGCGGCGCCAGCGTTCTGGGGAGCTCTGGACTGGATTGAGCTAGCGGCCTGGGAAACTCCAAGCAGGACGTAACCAGCGACTTGGGTAACTCTGAGCTGGGCGGGACCAGCGGCCTGGGAAACTCTGAGCGTACAGTGCTTGGCTTGGCGGGCTCGGTGCTCACAGCCCCTGATTGGGCGGTCACTACATTCTCAGACCCTGAGTCAGCGGGTAAAACCTTCACGGTTGCTGGCAAGGCAGCCATTAAATGATGTTTTATTAACAAAGTTCGGGAGGAGCACGTTCAGATAATTAAACCTAATTAAACACACGTGGAGCACATTCAGATAATCAAACCTAATTAGACACGAGTAGTGCTTAATCAACGAGTTAAGCGCTGTGTATATATACAGCAAACTTACCTCCGTTCATTGACAGTTTAACAGCATTTGGCCCCGCAGTACCTTCCTAACATGTCCGAATCGAGCTCTTCCCGTTTGATGAAGAATCTTTCGTCCTTCAGGATTAGGAATCTTTGCCACAATCCTCTGGTATTATCTCGTGGGCGTCAGGCCAAACAAACAGGTCCTCGCCACCGCGGGCGAAACATCCGCAATCTACTTCCGCGTATTTCTTTAAACCGGACCATTCAATAATTCCTGCCATAGAGAAATGGTCATAAGGCAATGCCGCCCTCTTAATTCGAAGGAACGGGTCTTCCTCCAGCCTCAGGGCGCCCTTAGTAAGCCGCGCTGCAGATTCAGTCCCGGTCAGTCCACACTCAACATCTGCCGGGTCAACTGTGAGTGCTCAGCTCAAAACCTTTTCGTTTTCTGTCCCTAATTGAACTTTGCATCACTTCAGTTGTTGAATCACGAGCAAGTTATGCTATCTGGATACTAATTTTGATCGGGGGAACATGCGTTAAATAGTTTCCGTACAAATGATTTGCCGTTCATTAACGCGATGCTTCCTTGTGGTAAACTCACACGTAAACAATAGGTCGCACATTACGTGCAGATTGCACACAGAATCATTAAGAACCTTTCGTTAACACTGTCCTGCAATTTATTTACAAAATTAGCTTAGAAACTTAAAGTTATAGCATAAAGATTTTTTTTTTTTTTTTTTTGAAGTAGGTAGGCTAGTTTAAACCCACAGTTTCACTATTGGTTTTTCTGATTCAGAACGAACAAATCGGCAGGGAATATGACCCATAGAAATGATCAAAATAAACTGAGAAAATAAGAACATTTTCGTACGTTTAATAATCGATCTCTCAGCCCGTACAGTTTCTGCTGAGCTCGGGATTCCATTTGCACAGGTTAAAACCATGGGTTCAGCCTCCTCCACTTGAATTCTGGGCATTAACTTGGATACAGTTGTTTTCCAGGCCTCACTGCACAAAAAAAAAAAAAAAAAAAAAATCGCTAGGATATTTTTGATCTCGTCCACCTTCCCACTGTTCTAAAACGCGAACTGCTATCTTTGCTCGGCCACGTAAACTTCAGATGCGCATAATCCTGCAAGGATTTAATCTCTCACCTCCTCTTCGCGTTTTTGATTAACGCGCAAGAAGACGAGCATCGGCCCACCAGGCCCCAATCTACTCCTCCCTTTGCTCAGCCTCACACCAGAGGAACTCAATTTGTCCAGGTAAATTTCTCCACTGCCGCAGCAGTGATGTCTTCTCTGTTCCTGCAGGAGCTCATTTCTCCAGGTAAGTTTTCTGCTCCCGCAGGAGCTCTGTTTCTCTGGACACAAGTTTGACCCATGCTTTTTTGCTTAAAGTTGAAGACCCAACTTTGTGTATGTTTTGTTAAATTCCCTTATCTGTCAAACATGTTTTATTAGATTGTTCTGGCCTTAACGCAAGCAGAATGCTCTTTTATGAAGTTTCTTCACTGAAGGACATATTTAATGAGATTATGCCTGAAAAGGTTTTGGATTTTTTTTTTTATCATGTTAATTTAAAATGATATAATATGACTTGTTGTTTATATTTGCTTTGTTTTTATTGTATTTATATGATATTTGTATTTTTATAATTGAATTTTTGCCATGAAAATAGCTCTGAATGCCGACATGGCATTAAATAAAATAATCTGATCTGTTTCTCTGGCTATTTTCTCCACTGCCGCTGCAGTGATGTCTCCTCTGCTCCCGCAGGAGCTCTGTTTCTCTGGCTATTTTCTCCACTGCCACAGCAGTGATGTCTCCTCTGCTCCCGCAGGAGCTCCGTTTCCCTAGCTATTT